GGGCCGCGACTATACAAAGGTTTTTAATTTTTTATTACACACATTTGTGTGGTGAACACCAGACGGAGCGAAGCCCATAGTCACGAAGACATACTGCTCCGTCATGGAAACCGGTAACCTAAGCCCCGGGACTTGGAGTGGCCAACCACATAAGGCCCCGATAGGTTAAGTGTGGTATTGAACCGGCGGTGAAGCGGTTGGAACCAGGGACCGGGGTCACAATTTGGTGGCCTAACCACTTGTCCACCACCGCCAAATTTCGTTGGTGTGGAAGAGCCATAAGATGTTGAATGGTTTCACATTGATTTTAGATGTCCAAAAAGGAAGAGGTAGCGTAGACGTATTCCAACCACGTCGGTGGTGTCTAGGATGCGATTTTTAATCGGCGACTCCAAAAGTGATAAGCGAATCGAAATGTTATATTCACATTCACTGTGATTACATTCGTCCAATTGCGAAACAATGGCACGTGTAATAAAATGTTCTGGACAACCGTTTGTGGGAAAACATCATGGATGAGAAATTGTTCCCTATTAATGGTGCCAATGGTGCATATTTTCACCGCCACATTTTCCAAACATAAAATCAGACTTGTTTTCCCACTGAGTGGCACATAACATGGAAAATGGAGATAATGAATGCCCCAATTCGGTTTTCTATAGCTCAAACTCTGAATAGAACCGTCCGTGTGACGCTTTAACTAAATGTCGAGAAAAATATTACCTTCATCTTACAAAGTGAACTTAATGATGGGATAAGGAGAATCAAATATCCTAAGCAGGTCCGACACTTGGAGGTTGCTGTCCACAAGACATAATATGTCAGCGATATCTTGCCCGTGCTTCAAAGCTGAATTAGTCATCTTGGACATGAACGAATCCGCAAACTGAGGACCGAGCATGGATCCCATTACCCACTCCATCCTTCTGGCAATCCGTCGTGTCACTGAATAAGTAAATCGTTCGAAACCAGGAGCGGTGTCCGTCAGGGGTACCCTATTTCACCATTCCTGTTCAATTTCGTCGTAGACGAAGTACTGGAGAACGCACTCAGTGGTCTCCAGAACGTAGGTATTGAATGGGCAACTGGAGAAAAGCTGTG